TCTGAAGGGAGTCACTGGGAACAGTAATGCCAGACTGCAAAGGACACAGCACCAGTGAAGAAGATTCAAGAATGGGCACACCGATGAAAGGCCCTTAGGCATCAAGGCTTGTATATGTAGATATGGATGTATAAATAAGAAACGCGACTATCTTGGTCAGTGAACCAGCCGTATGTTTGAGCATAGACGAGGACAGACCATCAAATTTTATTACATTTTCCTAGTTGGAAGAGGATGAAATACTTCATCATGAGAGGCAGGGTCAATGATAGATAAGCAGTCAGCTTGCTCAGTAGCATGTGGTAGGTGGTTAAAAAAGGAGTAGTAAAATTGTTTGAAGCGTCAAAACGGATGCAAAGAGAATATTTTGTAAATTTGACCAGTTTACGGAACAGAATGACCGAAAAGTTAGTCAGAAACTCCAGTAGGCACGAGCTAGCAATGTATAGACACTATCAAGATTGAATGCCTGAGTGAAACTTAAATGCATTAATGTGTAGTGAATTTAGAAACTGTAAGATTGACGCAGAAACTAACAAAACCATCCGGGTGTATCACGTGATCATTACTTTCATTATGACGCCAGCTTTATTGCATAGCAAAATGAGACCAAGCTAAAAGTATTGGTGTGACTTAACTAGACTAGAAAATCCGGCCACATTTGCCGTTAGCGAATGATGGATATGCATACATACACACACAAACTCGAGAGACGGTGTTTCGTCCAGGAAGGCCAAGATTTCAGACCACGAGATGCTTCTCCCAAGTAACTCGGGTTTTTTCTGAACCTTCAAAAGAAGGTAGTGCCTTCACGTTGGTTCAGTTTGGATAGTTTTCTTGAATACATTGAGATATATGAGGAAATAAGGCATAGCTGTATTCACACAATAGTGGATGATAGTAGATGAAACTAGTAGTTAATGCAAAACGGAGTAGAAAACACAGTTAAGATACAGTAGTGTTTCTGTACCGAAATAATCCGGTGTTAGCGAGATGGACACCGCTTGCACAATTCAGAGAACCTATCATGTTAAGGAAAGCACTGATTTATGTCATACCCCGATTTAAGCTGATGTAAATCTGTGATTTAAGCCTTCCATCATTAAGTCTTTCGCAAAAGAAATTGGGCGACATGTCATTGGCCATAATCCATTTCGTAAAGTCATTCTGGTTTGTATCTGAATTGACGAGACAAGAACTATGCGTTTGTCTTTGCCTGTCGTCCCGCATATGCTGAGACGAGAGTAACCAGAACGTACCAGACTCAATTTCACATAAATAAATCGCGCAATATCATTTGTTGATTAAGGGTCGTCTATTTGTGCGATGCATTTTACCTCTCGACCGATGTGGGCTCACCATTGAAGAGATTGAAAATCACTTCTTTTGTCGTGTAATTTGATTTCGTGTCAGCTGTTAAGCAACGTTTTTAGTTACTGTACCACGAGAACTGGAAATGCGGTCACTGTCATATTGGGAAGAAAGGGAAAGCTAACAGTCCGACACCTGAGCTTTGTATCACTCAGTGAATTGTCGTCATAACAAGGGCCCATTATCACGCATGACATGATGAATACTTTTTGATTAGAAAATAAAACGGAGAAAGTCATAACTTACTGCTTGTCCCACAAGTATAATCCACCTCGAGTGTATTGGTTAGGTTGTTGAATCGCCTCCAGGATACGTTCACACTTCTCACATGATACCAGTCTCTCATCCGCTGGTTGGTTCGGAGACCAAGTGGCCAGTCTCACTTGCTCGGTCACTTTATCCTGTTTCGCCGGATGTTCCATCCTAAAGAAATGTTCCACTGGTTGATCAGAACACGGAGATTGGGTTTTCAGTTCGGCCAAAAACGCATACTGACTTGTCGAGTTGAGACGATGCCCTAGCAGATCGTGCCACGTGTTTTCCATCTTATTCTCATCTGATACGTTATTTGTGAATGAACCGGGTAATGCAATGTGGGCGGTTTTTGCTGTTCCAAAGATACCGGTAATGCATAGATCCGGTTCATAGTTGACCTGCAGAAACGAGAGAAAATTTGAAGCGGTATTTATTTTCTCGCCTCCTGAAATGGGATTGAATCACTGATCACTGATCAGTCCGGATGAACGAGTGCTGAAATTTAGCCGCTACATTTTTATCCTTTTATCTAAAAGCACCGGAGAATGGAACCGAATTCGGAACGATAGTAGTGCAGTGTGATCGGAAGGTTGACGCCCGGGTATAACTGTCCACATCACACTGATAGTTTTAGTGAATCCTGATTGACTTGAACTGACTATCCTTCGGATTTCACCTGCACACACACGTTTCTCATCTCTTCCAGTCAGCCATACACTCGGTGGCACTAGGCTCAAGTTTCGCTCTTATTTAAGCTCATATCCATTGTCCCTTTCGGGATTTGGAGTCCAGACCTATCGTATGGAAGGCGTGTGCGTTACAACTGTGCCAACCAGTTCATACCAAGGCTCAGCAGAATTGCCAATTCTTGTTTGTTCAGGTGTCATCTTCAGTGATAGTCAGTCAGTTTATTTAGCCCGACAGCAATGAGGGGAG